GGGCAACCGGGCACCTACAGGCTCAAAACCAGCAGGCAGAGGGAGGACTCTTGCCTGGTAGTCACACATGTTTGAACCATTTGAGAAAGTTGCCTGTCATTTAAGGAAGACAGTGTCTGAAGCCTGTCTAGTTCTTTGATTTCACAAACCATTTCAACTGCGGTGTGTCATTGCCAGTCACTTCTCCAGGGAGATGAAAGACTGTGATACAAAGGGCCGTAGCCCTTTCAACTGTGATTAGCTAGTCGTCTGTCATCTCAGGAATTCACATTCCCCCAAAACATTTAGAATTTCTAGCCACAGGGGTTCATTCCTGGTAGCCCAGCCCGAGGGTCCCCACAGACCTGGCTCTGCAGGTAAAACTGCAGAGAAGACGAGAAATGCTCCGAGTCTCAGGATGCCCGAGGCGCCTGCCCACGTCGGTGCTCCCTGTCTCTCTGCATAATCCCCGGTGTCTCACCAAACTTCCCCAATCCGCAGAGAAAAAAGAATCACCTCAGGCAAAAGAGTCGCATATCTGCCCCCCCACCCCCCAGTGCTAATTTACTGCCGGTTAGTCTTCCTCAGCCGAGATGTCTGCAAGAGGCGACACAAGAAGGCAGGAGAGCCGAGCTAGCCTGGGCGAGTGTCTGAGTTTGCAGACGCTCTGGTCTGCGGTCTGCCCTCTCCAGAGGCAGAAGCCAGGCCGGCAAGGGAGGGAGGAAGGGCGGCAGGTCCATTTCCAGGGGACGCAGCTGGCAGAACTAGGCAGGAGGCCGCGTATGGCCTGGTGGGGTGGGGTTCAGGGTGGGGGAAAGGAGTGCCCCTCGGGCAGAAGCCTAGTGTTCTGCCTGGCTGACCAGTGCAAGCCAGGTGGCAGCTGTGCTCCAGGTTCATGTTCCCCCGGATGCAGGGTACTTGGCAGCCCTGGCAATTCCTCAGCTCTGGGCCTTCACCTGTGTGGACCCCTTAGGCTGGCATGCGTGCCCTCCTCACAAAGGTCTAGCTCAGATGCCCCTTCTTTCTCGGAGCTGCCACTCACCTGCCCAGCCGGGATGCTCTCTCCGGGACTTCCAGAGCCTTGTTTCGCCTCTCTCACTGCACTAAAGCACCTTCCACCTTAGGCTAGTTACTTGTATTGCCAGCTTACTAGACTGAAAGCTTTCTGTGGGCAAGATTCAAGCCTGAGGCTCGCACAGCTGTGTGGCCCAATAGACGGTCCTTGATTTCATCACACAATAAATAAAATACAGTTTCCCTTTATTAGTTTCTCTGAATCAGCCACTGAGTAGCTGTTGCCCTCCCAGGAGTCTGCGAAGTTCACTACAGGTTTTCCCACGGCTGCTAACCAAATAGCCCCAGTTCTTCCTCCCCTGCGTGCTTGAACCCCTTATGTTCTGAGAGGCCACACAAGTAGCTCTGGGCAATGCACTGTCAAAGGAAAGTGACATGTATACCTTCCTGGCCAGAGCATCGAGGCCACTGTGACACCCGTCTGAGCTCTTTTCCCTCGGACGTGGCAATTAGCAGCGTGTGAGATGTTGGCTGCTGTGTGGTTCTGAGTCCCCCTGGATAAATCCGTGAGCAGACACCACCTCCCCCCCACCTTCGATGGACATCTAGCATGAATGACAAATAAGCCTTTGTTGTCTTTAGCCACTGAAACCTGAAGGCTGGTATTGCTGCGTGACCCAGCCCTGCCAGCCTGCACATTTACTCCTTGAGTGGATCAGCTCTAGATCCACATCACTGGTGCTGCTGGTGGGTGACCTGGTGGGGAGGTGGAAACGAGGGGAAGCGAGGTCTCTGGGCAGCAGAGTGCTTCCCTCAGCAGCTTAGCTCCCTTGGTGGCATCGGGTGGCGCCTTCCCTCTCCTAAGCACTGCTTCTAAATTAACTAAGAGCTAGGGGTGAGCAGAGACGATATTCAACCAAGTTAGAATACTCTTTTTAAATCTCCCAGTCTGCAATCAGATCTTCCTATTGCTCCGCCACGCTGTGTTTTATGAAAATTAGCAGGATCCCTCCCCAGGTGGGCAAAGCATCGCACTTTCCAGATTGAGCATGTGACCCACTTGCCTAGAGGAGCTTCGGCATCTGGAGGGTGTGCTGAGGGAGCGGAGCAGCTGAGGAACCAGCCCCGCCCGTGCCTCGCGTGCTCCGTGAGCCCCGAGCCTGGCAAACAGGTGGCTCCAGATGCACGGGCCACGCAGGTGTCCCTTGGGCAGAATAAAAACAAGCCGGCCCTCTTGCTGTACCTCCGATGGGAGGGACGTGGTTGCCTACGTGGAAGAAAGACTAAAAATAAAAGCTTTACGGTGTCCTGTGTGCATGCTGACTGATAAGCCTCGGGAATGCACAGTGACAGGGAAATGGGCAGGAGACAGAGGTTTAATTGAATAAAAACTCCAGGCTGTGACAGGGTAGGGCAATGCGAAGCAGTAGTTAACAACATAATTTTTAAAATGACGATGCAATTAATTAACATCCTGAGTATGTGGGGGGTGGGGGTGAGGGGGGGCATGTTTCAGCCCAGAAACATTGCCAAGTAAAGGAGAGGGAGCTCTTCGTTTTTAAAGGAAATGTCTGTGCACAAGGCCCTGATTGCCACAACGTCAGCAAAGCTCACAAGAGCCCCCTAAGAGGTTGCTCCTGGCGGAGGAAACTAACAAACGAATCAACCTCGTGTTTTATTTTATCCAGAAACTTGTAATTCATTTTATTCTCATCTGTGGGGGAGAGATATTGGGTTAGATGATGAAGTTGGCAGACGTTCAGGTTTCATTCAGGCTTCCGGTTGAGAACCAGTCTCCTCCGAGGACCCTGGAAGCCTCCCTGGGGTGGGCTCCTGGCCTGTGGGGATTTACCAGCTTACCCGGAGTGCATGGGTCAGGCTGGTGTGGGGGCTGACCACAGGCTGCTCAGGAAATGATTTTCCAAAACCATGTGTGAGAGAGACAGCTGCCTGGGCAGAAGAGGCGTGTCTGAGAGTAGCAATTAGTCCAAGTTTCACGCCGATCACACTCCCTTCTCCACAAGGTGAGCGTGGTTGTCTCACCTGCCTACATACAAGTTTTAGATGACGGACAGCTGGACGTGCATGTGTTTGAGCTCCTAATTTCTGGGCTCCTTATGACCCAGAGAACTCAAGTGTCCCCTTCTTAGTTGCAGGACCCACAGCATCTGCTCAGTGACTGACATGGCCCTCTTGACGGGGTCAGGCCAGAAAAAGGAATGTTATGGCTTCATGTGAATCATGTCATGACCTTGGGTTTTTTCCTCTCACTCTCAAGAGAACATCCCGCTGCAGGGCTGCCTTACTAGGAAAGCCTGTCTATCCATCACAAGACATTTGGGGAGACGACTTATTTTTATACCAATGACTCAACTGTCCCTAGCCTAAGGCTCAGTACAATGGGGAGTTGAGGTTTATCTACATTTACTTCTCTAAGCTTAAAACTTCTTGTGCTATAATATCCTGTTACCTCATGCCCAAGCTGGTCATATTTAGGACTAGAAGACACTACCCAAAGGTATATCATCAGAGGAACCCGGTCACTTGGCTTAAAACGAGGGTTACTTTATTGAGTTGTGGCTCCTAAAGCATGTGACATATGTAAAGAATCAGACACAGGTGTGTGAGTAGCCTGTACATCCTTGACCTTCTGTCGTTGAAGGAGGGGGTTCTTCAGCGGACCTGCCTCTTGGAAGTCACGCGCAGGGCTCTGGGAACTGGCACAGTCTAAGCACAAGTTCAAGTGGACACTCACCTCCACGCATTAACCAAGGCTATACCGACCGATCTGAGCAAGTCAACCTAGTTACTGGGGGTTGGCGGGAAGGCCAACTCAACAGAAATGTACTACGAAAATACAGAATAAATATTTGTTTTCCTAAACCGAATTTGGCCTAAGGTAGAAATCTAAAGGGAAAAAAATAATCTTCATTACCACTGAAACAAACAAGCACAGAAGTACTTCATAGTTTATAGAACTAAAGTTTGAGATGAACATTGTCCCAGAGTCAAGGAGGCTGGAACAGGCTTAAGCTGACTTGGCTTCGATCAAGAAGATCCTCTTCATAGAAAGATGGGCTCCAGCTATTACTTGGATGTCAAACCTCCCCATTCAGAAAAAGGACATTTCGCCTCGGTTTTTCTTTGATCTGTGTAGGCATTTTCAACAGCTGCTCAATCCTTCGTGGAATTATAAAGCCATGTATAAATAATGCAGAAATCACCCCAGAACACACATACCTCCTTTACAAGGAAGGTTCTTTTCGAGACCAAAGATCCTGTTTTCAAACAAATGTGGTCATTAACTGCGGGGCGCAAGAAAACACACGGCATGTTTAGTTTCAGCAGAGTCATTCCTAAAGAAAGCGACTAAGCTCCCATGAGGAATGGAGACATTTTCAAATCATGAATGAAGTCAATGGGGAAGGGGAGCGAGGAGCCCTGCACGGCCAGCTGAAGGGCACATCGCAGGGCACTCGGGATTTCCACGTGGGACCAGGAGTCCCCATCTTGGCTTATGTCACGTAGCGAAGAGCTTCAGAGAGTCATAACCAGCCTCGTAAAGGCTCCTGCATGGACTGGCACCTGCAGGCCACTGAGGAAGCGGCCACAGCTCCATCCCACTTCATTCTCCTCTGGGGAGTGGAGCTTGGTGGAGACACAAAATTTCAGAAATTCAAACCACCTTCCCCCCACAGACGACTATTTTACACTGTATTTTACTGAGCCAGCTTCTGGGCTCTCCACTCTTTTTTTACCTTTCTTTCTTGACAGCAGATCCATGGAAAGTGAAAACCACAAAAAAACATCACCTTGGGAGACAGAAAAGACTAAGACAGGTCTGACGGCAGGACAAGTGTCCCGGCCTGGACCTACACGGGGGCAGGTGGGGCTGCCGTGAGCGGGTGCGCCCCGGCCCAGGACCGCACAGCGCTGTTTAGACGGTTGAACAGGTGCAAAGAGAACGGGGCCGAGTCCCGCCTGTGTCGCTCGGCCGGCTGTGCAGCTCATGGTGTTGGAGGTGGCTTCGGAGAGGGACACGAGCTCTCGCTGTCGAAGCTGGCGGCTCGGCCCTGCCACTGCGGGAAGGAGGAGAAGCCGGTTATTGATCGCCAAGGGAATTAACAGTTCCACTTGCAGAGCTGGTCTGGCCCATGCACTGAATTCACCCTTGTAAGCTTCCTGGAGTTTCGCTGTCAGCCATGCACAAAATGTAAGGAAACAGCTTCAGGGCTTCTAGGTGGGAATACCTGATTTTACAAAAAGACCTACTGCAGGGAGACCGAAAGCCTTCTTCAGAGTGTGCGTGTGTGTGTGTGTGTGTGTGTGTGTGTGTGTGTGTTAATGAGGTGCGGTGGCTGGGCCGCCTCCGAGTGCTTCAGCCATTTCTCACACCGAAAATCAGATTATGTTAGCGAAAGGGGCAGTCTGCAGAGTATGCGCTCACTGCCAAGAGCCCGATCATGAATTATTAGCAATCTGTCTGGGAGCTGTTAGTACAGTTAAAAACCTGATATTGCTTTAGCTCTGGGTGTTCTTCAGTCTTAATGCTTCCTAGGGGCATCCACTCTCGACTCGTGAAGAGGTAGGAGGTGGAGGCGACAGCAGCCCCTTCCCCTTTCGGGCGCCCACCTTCGTCCTCTTTGGCTCTCTTGGCTCGGGGTTGCCTCCTCTCTGCCAGACCCTAACCCCTCTGGGAAAGTGGGTGATGTCTCGCACAATGGGCTGAAGGGGAGGGCTGAGGATGGGTGGACATGCGATTGAGCTATTTAACACTTGTTGAAATGGAAAAGCCAGTCAGTCGCAGCTAGAGCAGTTTTCTGGGCAAGGAGCTGACCCTGCGAATGTTCTTGACCTGTCTGGGGGCTGTAAGCTTCAAAGGGAGACCGCCCGGCCTTTATGTGAGCCGAGGAGACCCAATGCTCTACCAGGTGCCACCGGACAAGGCTCTGGAGAGAGGTCACCTCCATGCTCCCGTTCTAAGGAAAGCCCCTGCCATCCCCCAGGCTCAGCTCCTCATGGCCCCTTAGTACTTCCCGTCCAGGTCGACCATCCAGCTAACCACAGGCTGGACAACGACATACTGACCACCACCATCACGTCACCCAGAGCTGAGCAATCTTAGCAGGCCAGACCCGGAGGCAGGCCTGGGGGATCATCCAGTCTAACTCTGTCATTCTTGAAGATAAGAAAATAAAGACACAGAGAAGTGAAGACACAGTTAGCTCGGGGCAGAGCCAGGATCCAAAGACAGGTCTCCTAACTCCCAACTTGGCGCTCCTTCCACGCCATCATGGCATCTGGCCGCACCAGGGAGAGGAGACAGGAAATGTAGCAAGACACCTGACCTCGTAGGGTCCACACCAGGTACTTACTCCTAACTCCAGTGGCAGCCTCTCAGCTCGCAGCATCCACGTGAATGCACTCACAACCGGGGGGTTCCCTGGTGAAATATTTATTGTAGATCAATACATGCCTGTTTGTTGAGCCCACTGTGACTTCTGACTCCAGTGTTTCTTAACCAAAAGGTGACATGAGATGATTACTAAGGCTTTCATTTGACAGACTTTCATTTTATTTTACTGTTTTTATTGATTTTAGAGAGAGGGGAAGGGAGAGCGACAGAGAGAAACATCGATCGGCTGCCTCCTGCTCGCCCCCTACTGGGGATCAAGCCCACAACCCGGGCATGTGCCCTGACTGGGAATTGAACCGGGGACCTCTTGGTTCATGGGTCAATGCTCAACCGCTGAGCCACTCCAGCCAGACATAGTCCTTCATTTTAGAAGTTCTACTTTTTTTGTTATGACCATTAATGTTGGTAAAGGCACGTTGTAATTACTGGCTCCTCCCCTGGGTTCCCACGCCTCCTAAACAACCTGACTGATGGGCCAGCTCAGAGGAGAAAAAATGAAATTGCTACAGAGAGTGCCTGTTTTCCTTATATAACAGCCCAGAGAGAAGGCACACGGAGTATAATTACTTATCCAGGGCACATGAAGACGGCACATGGGCTCCCCTGCCAATCCCTGATTTTCCCTGTGACGGTAAACAAAGAGGAGGTGGGTTCGTGGACAGTGGGCACGCAAATGGTTCCAGGAGGCTTATCTTGGCTGTGACCTGGTGGAGACCTGGTCCCCACACACAGATGATGGTTCCCAGGTGGCTGCATTCCAGGAAGACCTTGCATCGTTCTGAAACGGGTCACGTACCAACAGAGATCTAAACTCTCTGGCAGATGACCTGAACCTGGCCCTTCAAAACAAAACGCCTTGGAGAAGGTTGCTGGCCAGCCCGGGGCTCTGTACGTGGCGACAGTGACAACATGCAGACAGGGAAGGGGGCACAGTCGCTGCCAGGGAAGGATGCAAGCTGTGGCTTAATCAATTTGTATTCATGAAGAAAAAAAAAATCCCAGCAGGGAAAAAAATACCTTTCCGTTAATTTGCTCCCCTAGACCTTATTTAAAAACTCCAAACAAGCGAGCAAGCAGGGTGCCCTCTACTCGTTAATAAAAAGAGAAATGATCACAGCACTTGAAACTCCGCTAAGGCAGGTACGATATAAATACCGAGTGCTTTACGGGTTCGGTGCCATTTATCTTCCCGGGAGCCGGGGAGTGAGATTTCTTCCTGTATTACACACGCGGGAGAAGCCAGGCCCAGGAGCGGGGCTCGCGCTCAGTGTCCGGACCAGGGCGGAAAATACTGCGGGACGGAGCTCTAAGGACGCTGGAGATAAACGCTCGAGTGCATGCATCACAAGAACACAAAGGCTGTTTACTTAATATGAGCCCGTGGGCTTTTTGATGCATGTTTATAAAGATCCTTAGACTGTGGATGCCCAAGTGTAGATATCAATTTTATACACACTTGTACAGATGAAATCCTAGGTTGTCAAGACGAATGTCATTTTTAGCTTCTTCATACAGAGAACCAGTCAGCTGAGCAGAAGATGGCAGGATAGTGAGTGGGGGAGGGGGCGGTCTCGGGAACTTGGTTTGTGAGGTCAAGAAAAAAGTAAAACCCCAAGGATATAAATCAATTTATTCTCTTTTCGTTTTTCCACATACCATTACTTTCCCTTTACTGTCTCATCAAATATTCATTTTCAAGGGCTTTATCTTTCTTTTGTAGTCTGAATGAGCGAGCTGGGCTCACTAAAGACGGGATTTGGAATCAATTATTTGGCTTAATTAGGTTGCATTTATCGCGAAGAAGAGGGATTCTGGGCTGTACCACCTCCACGCTGCCCTGCACCCACCCCCAACCCCAGCCTGGCCGGCTACTTCCAGTTTGCGTGGGCAGCCCAGCCAGGTAACAGTGACGGGTTATTGCGGATTGAAGGTTAGAAAGGGGGTGCAAGATGCCGACTCCCCCGGCCAGTCATCATGCAGGGTCAGCGCTGCCTAGGAAAGCAGACCTGGAGGAGCCTACCCCGCATTTACCAGCCAGGAAACTGAAGACCAGAGCAGGAACCATGAGTTGTCTGAGCCCCACAGCCCATCAGAGGCCTCTTAGCTCCCATTCCATGCCCACCCCTAAGCCATCCTGAGCGATTTACTATATTCCCTCCTTAAATATAGCCAGCGGATTTGTAAAAGGGGAGGGGCACAGCACCAACAAGGTGCCAGATGCTGTCGTCTAGAGTCCTACTCAGTAGCTGCCTTCTTGTAGGCTGGTCGTGGAATCTCACCCACACTCCCCAGAAAGAACCTTCTGGAAAAGAGGGGACGGAGGCTTCCCTGGGGGCCAGAGAGCCGAGGGATTGGCCTCGCCCATTAAAGTTTCACAGCTGCCAGCACAAGACAGAACCGAAGACCTCAGATGGACAGGAACTTCGAGCCTATGCCTTGTTCCTTCTTGCTGGCCCTAAAGGCCGCAGGGAGGGAGCTTTGCAGGGCACACGCCTAACTGGGGAGGTAAATCAATAGCCTGGCTCCCTAGAGGCCTCTCTCCCACAGGTTCCCATGTGAGAAAAAGCAGGCCCGGGACCACCAAGGCGATAAATCTCAGGATCTTACATTGATGGAGGCTGGTGCAGGTGGGGCAGAGTAAATGTCACTGGAGGGGACATTTTCCTTGCAGTTGAGAGAGAAATGACAGACTCAAGGTTATACAGCAAGTCAGGAGGGGCCAAGACTAAAGCCCGAGTCTCGGGAGCCCCGGGCAGTGCCCTGTCCACTCCTCTCTGTTAGATCCTCCAGGAAGTGTGACACCTTAAAGCCGAGCTCGTGAGAACCAGCGTTCATTAGAGCGGCTCTGCTCTCTGGCTGTCTCTGTCTGCACAGTGAAAACTGCCTGACTACCTGGCTGGAGCCTCAGGGAACTTGCTGCCCCAACAGGGGTGGGATTTCTTGCCAAGTTCTGATCTCACCCCCGTGGGGCTTGCTCCTCAGGGGCTGCCTTGGCCCAGGGGCTTGGTGGAAGCATTCGGGGCTGCTGGGAAGGCCCCCTCCAAGTTTTTACTTTCCAACTACAACTCAGTGTTGCTTTCAACTTGCTCCACATCAGAAGCCTTTGTCAGGCAGCTTCCCATGGTCTTCCTCCTTTTCCTCCCTGCAGGTCACACTGGGGAGAAGCACGTGGCCCCCACGCCCCCCCCCAGGGAAGGACCCACGAAGGCGAGGCCTCGCAGCAGCCACGGCCATTCTCCAGCGCGCACGGCCGTGCAGCAAGCATGCCAAGGGCCGAGTGCGACCTCACCCACCTCTTTGAAGGATTTCTTTACCTCCACCAAGGAGTGCCAGTGCGCGATGGGCTTCCGCGGGTACGCCAGCATCTCGTTCCAGTGGTCCCTGCCCAGGCCTTCCGCGTTGATCCCCACACGACAGACTCCTATGATCTCATTGTGGCCGACTCTGAGGGGGAGACAAAGTGCCCAGCGTTGGGGACCAGACATGCTCTCAGACAGGAGGGGCCTGGGGTCGGGACCCTGCAGGGCAGGTCTAACTCAGAACACCGAGCTCTGAAAATAGATGCTCCGCAGGCCCGCAGGGTGCCAGCAACGGTGATGCTTTGCCCCGCCTCCTTGGGTGGACACTGGGCACAGATGAGCAAAAGGTTATACGCTCGTTTGGGGTCTCAGGAAGTGGTGGGCGGATGGCCTTACTTTGGGGAGTTTAAGTCTCTTTCTTCATTTGATTCGGCGCACATATCACACCCACGTGTGAGATGTATATCAGCATCTGGAAATAAATCAACCTGCTCTGAGCACCGTTCCTCCATACCCCCAGCGGCTGCGATGTGATTTACTCACTCAGCAAGAACATTAATCATCACTCAACTATGTTCACCAAGCACCTACTACACCCAAGAACTTGGGCAAAACATCCTGGCTTGAGGCTTTACTGCATGGTTTCCTACTCCCTCAGCTGAAGTGACGAGTGGAGAGAGGAGTTCCACTAGCTAGAGGAGTCAGAAAATAGTTTTGAGTCAGCTGGATGGAAGAGCAGGATTTGGATCAGTGGAAGAAGAGAAAGGTCTCCAATAAAGGAGAAATCGAGGGTGGACATGCTGGGTCCAGATTCAGGAAGGCCTGGGGAGTCCAAGGGGGGAGTCTGGACAATAGGAGCCACTGATGGTTCTTGAGAGCAGTGGGTCCAGGAAGAAAGTGGTCTCTTATTAAGAAGGCGTGCGTTCCGTATGTTGTCTGGATGGAGGCAGGGAGCGACGGAGGCTGCACAGCCGTCCCTAAGCGGGAGTGGTAGCAGCAGCAGAAATGGAGAGGATAGCCCGGCCGGCGTGGCTCAGCGGCTGGGCATCGACCTAGGATCCAGGCGATCGGGGTTCGATTCCGGGTCAGGGCACATGCCCGGGTTGCGAGCTCCATCCCAAGCAGGGGGCGTGCAGGAGGCAGCCGATCAATGACTTTCATTGATGTTTCTATCTCTCTCCCTTCCTCTCTCTGAAATCAATAAAGATATATTTAAAAATAAAGTCCATATTATTAAAAAGAAAGAAATGGAGAAGATAGAGAGGCCTTTTAAAGGACAGTGATGGGACTTGGTGCCAGATGGAGGACTGGGGTAGTCAGGACTGAATTCAGGGGAACCAACGGGCGGGGCTGCCCTGATGGAAACAGAGCAGCTGCGAAGTGAAGCCTGAGCTTCTGCTTCGGGGAATCCACGCTCTTGCTCAAACCCCGGCACTTCATGAGTATGGCCAGACCCCAGGCCAGCTGCAAGGGAGATGTGAGGAATCATGTCCCTCGGGGACCGGTACCTACCGGTCATAGTCCATGACAGAGATGAGCAGGCTGACTTGGTCCATGTTCTCGGGCGGAATGTCAAAGATGATGGCCTCGTTGTAGACGGGGTTGAGCGTGTTCTTCTTTATGGTGGTTTTCTTCTTCTTCAGTCTCCGCCCATCGCAGAGCAGGGACACTTTGACGTAGGGATCTGTGCCAACGGGGTGGGGGGGGAGAG